AGAGAGGCTGTCAGGGCCCCAGGGGCTCCGCATCGGGAGGCCCCGGGGCTGGGCTGGCAGAGGGCGGCAGCAGCCGCCAGGGCACTCGGGGCTCCCCAGCACATCCCTGGGCCGCATCCTGCTGCCGCTGCAGCAGCCGGGGCTGGGGCCGAGCTGCAGCGGGGCGGGGAGGGACCGCGGCCTTGGGGCTCACCCATGAACCTGACGGCCGCCTCTCGCAGGGGCTCCTGTGGGCTCTGCAGGTAGGCCAGGGCCTGCTGCAGGTGCTCGCCCCTTCGGCTCACGTCCTTTTCCATCTGCAGAGAGTAGGGGGGTGTCTGTGGTTGCAGCAGTGGGCAGCAGTGCACAGGGCCAGCCCCACACACTGGGCATCGGGGGCTTCTCCAGCCTGAGGCTGGGCCTTTGCACTCGTCCTTACCAGGCAATCACAGAACCTGAAGGGCTGCTCTGTCTTCAGCAGCTGCTCCAGGTCCTTCCTCTTGAGGAAGCTTGCAGCCCAGAGCAGCGCTTCCCGAGCGGCCTGCAGAGCAGCAGAGAGCGGGACATGGCAGCGCAGCCCAGGGCACAGCCCCTGTGTCCCTGCTCCAAGGCCAGCAGGAGGCTGGAGGCCTTGAGGCCCCAGGGCAGGAGGCAGCCCAGCCCCTGCCACGGGGACAGCAGAGCCCAGCAGTGCTCACCTCTGCCACGCGCTGGTTCTCGTCGTGCCAGCGGAAGAACAGTGGGACCAGGCTCTGGCGCACCTGCATCTGCCAGGGCTCTGTTCCCTCTTCCGCCAGCAGCTCCATCACCTCTCGGAAGAGGCCAATGGAGAGCAGCTGCACGTGGCTGTTGTCCTGGGGCCAAAGAAGACACAAAGACATCAGCACTGCCTGCTCCATGCCCATCAGGCCCACACCTGAAACTCCATCAAGTTTCCTGGTAGCACCCAGTGCCTGTGGCTGGGGGCACAGAGCCTTACATTGTCAAAGACTGGCCGGAGCGCCTCAGCCAGCCTCGGGGCAGTGGAGCTGAACCCGTCACTGTTTTCTCCATCCTGGAGCACATTCCGGAACAGGGAGAGGGTCATGGTGACCAGCTCTCCATCTCCATCACACAGCAACTCCAGGAGGTGCTCAGACAGGCTGCAGATGCCTTTGGCCTGTGTGGAACAGAAGGCTGTGCTGGGAAGCCCTGAAGAGCTGCCCCACCACCCCCACTCTGGCACTGCAAGCCCACGCTGCTGCTCTGGGGCCCAGAGGCCAAAGGCCTGTCCACAGGGCCTGGGCAGCTGGAGAGGGAGGCAGGAGAGCTGGCAGCAGCTGCCACAGCTCCCGAAGTCCAGCCAAGGCCAAGCCACTGCCCTCCCCAGCCCCAGGCTGCCCGTGTGGCTTCAGCCCCTGCCCCCTTCTCACCATCGAGGGATCCACGCTGAGCACCAGGAGCCCTCGCAGAGCCAGGCGCCGCCTCTCTGGGCACTGGCTCTGCAGGTGCCTTGCCAGCATCTGCAGGACACTGTCGTGACAGGTGCTCACGTCCAGGTAGTCGAGGACCTGGAAGGCAGAGAGCAGTGCCGGGGTGTGCGGGCGGCAGGAGCGTGGAGCCGTCCAGGGCTGGGCCCAGGCAGCAGCACAGGGCGCAGGCACCGTCCCGGGCAGCTGCGGCTGCCAGAGGGCAGAGAGGGGGAGGCAGCGGGGCCAGGCAGCGCTGGCCATCGGGCTCACCTCGACAAGGAAGGCCAGGGCAGGCAGCTCCCAGCGGGGCCCCTCCCTGCTGAGCAGCCCCAGCAGGTGCCTTGCCAGCGGGCCATAGGAGGGGACCAACACACGGCGCATCTCCCTGTCAGGGCAAAAAGGGAACCCTCGGCCTGAGTCGGGTGGGCAAAGCTCTGCCAGCACTGGCTGGGCCATCCCTTGGTGCCAAGACCCTCTGTCCCACGCCAACGGGGACTGTGTGGGCTGCCCCGTGCCCAGGGCAGAGATGCCGGGGGCAGCAGGGACAAGGCTGTCTCACCTGGCCAGCAGCCCCACCGCGTAGTGGTGGGTGTCAGCCGAGAGGAGCGCGTCCCAGCCACGCTTGCGCTCCACTGACACCAGCTCCTGGTCCCACTGCAGCTGCCAGAGCAGGGCCTGGATGGTCTGCACCACAAAGCTGTGTGCAGAGCAAAGGCCACGTCAGGCTGGGAGCCCTGGCCCCAGCCCCCAGGGCACGGCAGGGAGAGGGGACAGGCATGGAGCACCTGTTGGGGTGGGTGGGAAGGCCGTGTTGCTCCTGGCATCCCCTCCAGAAGGTGCTGACCTCCTCTGGCATCTGCTCTGTGCTCATTGAAACTTGGTAGAGCAGAGCCAGGAGGAGGCAAGGGGCATGAACCAGCAGTGCATCCTGGCTCTGGGGCTCCTGGACCATCAGCCACAGGGCCAGGGTTGCCTGCAAGAAAGCCACATGGAAACACCATCAGTGCCCAGAGGGAGGGAGAGGCCAGGGAGAGCCAGGGGGAGCAGCCGGCCTGCTGCCCCTGAACCTGCCCCTCAGCCCCATTTGCAGCCCAAGGCCTGAGGGAGATGCAGCAGTGGGGGAGGATGGAGAGTTGCTGCAGAAACTCACAGCCAGGGCAAAGACGTCCACGTGGTCCCCGCTGGAGGTGGACACGCTGTGCAGTGGCCAGTCCTCCATCACCCCGAGCAGCGTGGGCAGCACCTTGTGCGCTGTGGTGGACGAGGAGGCGATGGTCCTCCACAGGATTGCAGCAGATCTGTGGAACCAGAACTCTGGGTCAGGGGGGTCTGGCCCTTGGGAGATGTGGGGCCCAGGTGACAGAGCCATGGTGCCTTGAGGGGCAGGGAGGGCACATGGCAGCAGGACTGGGGGCCGACAGGCCAGGGCTGGGAAGTGGAGGGGCCAGAGGGGTCTGGAACTCTGGGTCAGTCTGGCAGACAGGAGGGACAGGCTGGATGGGGTGCTGGGTTGTAAAGGCTGGTGAGCCCTGAGGCAGCCAAGCAGCTGGGCCCTGTACCTGTCACACGCTGGGGCACAGTGCAGGAGAGTCGTCACCACGTGCCCAGGGTGTGCGTGGGCCAGCCTGCGGATGGCAATGGGCGGCCTGACCTCTGCAGACTCCTGGCATGTGAGCCACTGGTGGATGGGGCTGACACTGGCCGGCACCTGGAGGGGAGTGGGGGACAGTTGGAGAGCTGCCAGAGCCAGCAGGTTGCCCAGCTTGCCGTGGGAAGGACTTCCCTTCCCACTGCACTGTGCTGGCCTCAAAGGCTCTGGGGCCCACAAGACCCTGTGGGGCTCGAGCCCTGGCAACAGACTGCTTACTTCATTTGTGGAGACACTTTTCTCCTCCAAAACATCCACACTGGGAGCATCAGTGACACTGTCCATGGGTGTGCAGTCAGTGTCTGCGATGCTCTCAGTTGTGGCGTCAACCCTGACATCCGTTGGTGCCGTGTCAGTGCTTGCCTCGGTGTCGGTCAGTGCCGTGTCACAGGTGTCTGTGCCATCCGTCAGTGCCATGTCAGAAGTTTCTGTGCCCTCGGTCTGTGCCGTGTCAGGGGTGGCTGTGCCATCCATTGGTGCTGTGGCAGAGGTGGCTGTGCCCTCTAATGGTGCCATGTCACAGGTGGCCATTGTATCAGCCAGCGCCACATCACAGTTGGCTGCGCAATCAATTGCTGCCATGTCGGTGGTCTCTGAGCCATCAACCACTGCCATGTCCGAGGTTGCTGTGCCATCAACTGGTGCCATGTCACCGCTGGCAACACCATCAGTCAGTGCCATGTCACCAGTGGCTCCACTATCAGTGGGTGCCATGTCAATGCTCGCTGCACAGTCACTCGGTGCAGTGCTGACATCAGGCTCTACCTCGAGCTCGGTTTTGCTGGTGTCAGGCTGTGCCAGGTCCAGACTGGGAGCATCAGTCACACTGTGCATGGATGTGCAGTCAGTGCTTGCAATGCCCTCGGTTGCGGTGTCAGCCTTGGCCCCGACATCACTTGGTGCCGTGTCAGAACTTGTGTCGGTGTCGACCAGCGCGGTATCACATGTGGCTGTGTCATGCACTGGTGCCATGGCAGAGGTGGCTGTGCCATCCATTGGTGCCGTGTCAGAGATGTCTGTGCCATTAACCTCTGCTGTGTCAGTGGTTGCTGTGCCCTCGAGCTGTTCCATCTCAGCGGTGTCTGTGCCATCAGTAGGTACCATGACACAGTTGACTGCACAAGCAATGGCTGCCATGTCGGTGGTTTCTGTGCCATCAGTCACTGACATGTCCGAGGTTGCTGTGCCATCGGTCATTGGCATGTCACTGCTGGCTGCAGAATCCATGGGTGCCATGTCACCGCTGGCTGCACAATCATTTGGTGCCATGTCACCGCTGGCTGCACAATCCTTTGGTGCAGTGCTGCCATCAGGCTCCGCCTCGAGCTCGGCTGCGCTGGTGTCAGGCTGTGCCGTGAGCTCGGGCGGTGCGGTCGTGGCTCTTCTGCGCCGAACACCCATGAATTTCAGCAACCTCTGCAGGAGAAGAAAGGGCAGGGAAGAGAGGGAAGTGGCATGGAGTGCTCTGACAGCGGTGCCAGGTGGAGCAGGGACAGCAGGCCCAGCCCAGGGGGGGATGGCTGCAGGTACCTGAACTGCCCTGCGCAAGCGGCCACGGGCGCGGTCCTGCTCTTCTGGGCGGTCCCGGCCTGGATCTGGCAAAGAGCGAGCGCAGTCAGAGCTGAGGGGCCACGGGAGAGGCCAGAGAACACAGCCCAGCCCTGCACTCCACAGGCAGGGCCAGCCCTGGGATGCCCAGGGGATGGAGCACGGATGCCGGGGGGATCAGCCTTGGCCCCCCTTTCCCCCTCCCTTTCCCTGGCCATGTCCAGAGGGGACAGCAAGGGGTCCAGCTGGCTGCAGCCACCATCCCTGGGGCCCAGCTCCAGCACTCACCCTGCTGCAGTGACTGGAAGTGCTGCACCTCCTCCTCTTCTGATTCCTGAGCTGGGCCAGCTCCAGGGCCTCTCCTGTTCTTCCTCTTCCCCCGGAGCAGCCGGCACAGGCCGAAGCATCCCCCCGCCATGGCACCTGGTCTTGAGGGCACCTGCGGGAGAGAAACCTGGGAAAAACCCCTGGCGGCCAAGTGTGACAGAATGGCCTGCGGGGCTCCTGCCACAGGGACTGGGGATGGATAGCAAAAGCCCCTGGTGGCAAAGTGTCAACAAATGGCCTCAAGGGCCACTGCCACAGGGGCTGCTGATGGCTTGGAAAAGCCCCTGGTGGCAAATTCACAACAAATGGCCTCAAGGGCCGCTGCCACAGCCCCTGGTGACTCCTCGGAAAAGCTCCGGGTCACCAAGGCCCGTGGCCTGGCCTCGAGGGCCACTCCCACAGGGAGTGGGGTCACCTCAGAAACGCTCTGGGTCCTCAACTCCTGTGCTGTGGCCTCGAGGGAAGATGATCAAAAAAGAACTCTCAGAAACGCTCCTGGTTGACGAGAAAGGAGTTGGCTGCGAGGAGGCTCCTCACAGCACCGCTCTGTCCCGTCCTGCCCAGTCGCCCGCTCCGAGCACGGTGGCGTGGCCGCGTTGCCGCCAACACCTTTATCACCACGGGTCACAAAGGACACCGTCCCATCCCCGGGGCGACGGCCACCGTGTCACAAAGGGCCCTGTGACACACTGCCATGTGCCCTGGGGCCTCCCCCAGCCCGGCCAACCTGCCCCAGCTCGGAAGGAATCCATTCCCAAAAGCAGCTGCAGCCATTGGGGGCAAGGCTTGGCATCTGTGCCAGGGCAGAAGCTGTGGCTTCTTCCTGCCATCATTTCTTCATGGAAGTCATGACCTGCAGCACAAAAACACCTGGGCTGGCAAGGCCCAGAAAATCTGGCATTTAATCCTGCTACATTCAGGAAAGCCTGACTTCCCATTCGTCAACACAAGGAGCTGAAAGGAGTTGCAAACTTCCCAATGACACTGAATTAGGAGGACCCAAGAACATCAACTATTTGGACATTTGCTTCCCGTCTCAAACCTGCAGCTCATTGGCTTTCACATGGTCCATTTAAAGTCAACTTCCAGACCTGAACAGAGGCACAAAATCTGGGCATTGATTGGTTTTGAATGGTTTTGTATTAAGGGATAATAAGATGAATATTCAAACCTGAGAAAAATAAAACTACCCAGAATGATCACGGCTGAAGCTAAAGTGCATTTCAGAAGGAACATCAACAACCACACCCCACACATCCCCCTCAGCACCTTCCCAGCCAGGAATTCCACCCAATTTTCCACAAAACTAACACATAACCCATTCCAATGGCTGAGCACTCTCTGGAAGAAATTTCTTCCTGATATCCAACCTAAACCTCCCCTGGCAGAGCTTAAGATCTCACAACACTTCCGTCAAAATCCAGTGAAACAACAACACTGAAATCAAGATCCACTAAACCAGCAACCTTTATGGCAATACCCCACCAATCCCTCCACACTTCAATCTGATCTGATCCCTCCAGCTCCAAACCAGCCCAAGCATGAGGAAAGGAACAGAGAAGGGGAAGCAGAGGCAGCAAGAAGAGAGAAGGAGAAAGAGGGAGAGACAGATCCTGGAACTACCACCGCAGTCCTGGAGAGGATCAGCTCTCCCCATTCCCGTGGCAGGGCCAGCACACCAGGCCAAAACCAGACCCTGGTTTTCTTTGCTCCGGTCCCTCTGGCCAACCCCCCAGGTGGGGTCTGTGAGCCAGCAGCCACTGTGGGGCTTCCAGGCTGGACTTAGGGGTCAGGTTCTCCCTGTCCCTGCCAGTGGGAGCTGGGTGTGGGGCTGCAGGAGCTGTGGCTGTTCCAGTTTTCCCGGGCTGGTTGGGACTGACAGTTACTGCGGGGCTTGCCCAGGTGAGCTCCCGGGGCTGCCCTGAGGGACACGAGGCCACCCCCCCTCTGGGAGGTTCCACCCATCCCTTCCCCCTCCACACCCATGGAGTGGAGTGGACGGATTAGAAGATGGAGTCTGATTGCGAGCTGGACTCTGCTTTGCCATTGTCTCCAGCGTGGAGTTAAAAGGCCTGGATGGCACAGCCGGGCTGCTGCAGGAGCTGAGCTCCTTGCCAAAGCTGCAGGAGGCACCCAGCAAGCCAGCCGAGGCAGGCAGAGCAGCAAAGAAGAGAAACAGTTCTTCCAACCCAAAAGCACAGCAAGGACTTGCTCTCCCAAATCAGGGGTGCCAGGCAGATCTTGCTTGGAGATTGGGGAAGCAGCCCGGGGACACTCAGGGCCCATCTTGGTGCCAGGAGACCTCGGCTGGGATCCTGCTGAACTGGCCAGCGGCATCTCAGGAAGGACATTGAGGGGTTAGAGCAGGTGCAGAGGAGAGCAACGAGGCTGGGGAAGGGACTGGAGCACAAGTGCTGTGAGGAGAGGCTGAGGGAGCTGGGGGGGCTCAGCCTGGAGAAGAGGAGGCTCAGGGGAGACCTCCTCACTCTCTGCAACTCCCTGACAGGAGGGGGGAGCCAGGGGGGGTTGGTCTCTTTTCCCAGGCAACTCTCAGCAAGGCAAGAGGGCTCAGTCTTCAGCTGTGCCAGGGCAGGGTTAGGCTGGAGATTAGGAAGAATTTCTTTGCAGAGAGGGTGCTCAGCCCTTGGAATGGGCTGCCCAGGGAAGGGGTGGATTCTCCATCCCTGGAGGTTTTTAAGATGAGACTGGACCTGGCATCAGTGCCATGGGCTGGGAACCGCAGTGGTGTTGGATCAAGGATTGGACTTGATGATCTCAGAGGTCCCTTCCAACCCAGCTGATTCTGTGATTCTATGATCTGGGGGTACCACGGCGAGCGGATTTAGGGCCGTGCCCAGGGACTGTGGGGGGCTGTTGGGACATTGCTGAGGGAGCTGCTGCCTCTCTGTTCCCCTGCCCGTTGGGCTTCTGAGGGAACAAATTAAGCCGGCAGCAGCTGCATTCAGTTAGTTGGGATCAACCAGGAGTGTTTTGGCCTTGACTGGTTGTGGGAAGTAGCAGAGACTGTGGAAAGCTGCCTTAGGGAACTAAGGAGCAGAAACATGATAGAAATAGTCACATTAACATGGTATAAAAGGTAGCAACTGTAACAAAGAAAGGTCTCAGTATCCCCGATGAGCTGAGTCCATGATTAAATTCGCCACCAATGGGGCCCGAACAGGGACCTTCATAAAACGCCAGAGGGAGGACGTCTTACCCGTGGCAAAGCTCGGCTGGACGATGGGCTGAAAGGAAGCCCAGGTGCTCTGCCATTACCTTCCTGCTGGACAGCAGGTAAGCAACCGAGGACGGGATGGGGAACTCTATGCCCAGAGAGCATAAGAATGTAATCCAAGTATTGAACATAATTTGTGTAAGCAACAGCGAGAGCTATCAGCTATGGACTTAAAGCGGCTGTTAGCATGGGCTTGTGACAATGATCCCAACATAAATCCACACACTGTTTGTGATGTGGAACGATGGGACAAAGTCAGAGCCAGTCTTTGGGACAAAGCTCTTAAAAACGACAAGGAGGCCACAGGACTTGTAAGCCTTTGGCAGACCCTCTAGGAGGCCCTGAAAGTCTCTTTTGGGTCCAAGAAATCCCACCCACTGCCAACGGAGACAGTGCTTCTTTGGGAAGCACTTTCCTTGGGAAGCAGGCCCCTTGCCTCCCCAGGGATGACCCAAGTCTGCAGCTTTCTTGGGGAACCCCAGCACACCCAGCACTGCAGATGAGCAAGATCTTCGAGTGCCCAATGCTGTGCAAGTGGCCCTTCAGGACAGGCCCCTTTGCAGCCTGAAGTGCCCTGGGGGTGTGTGCCCACGGCACAAGGGGAAAAGAGAGGCAGGAGCGGGCCTGTGAGTTTCAGGGCTGAGGGTTTGTGCCCTTTCAGTTGCACCAAGACACAGATAAGGGGGAGAAAGCCAGGGTTTATTAACATCAGGGGTAGGGGAGGGATGAAGTGGGGTCAGGAGAAGGGAATGGAAGAGAGGGAGCCGTCCCTGGGGCTGCAGAGGCCAGGAGCTGGCTGGCCTTGCGGGCTGGCTCAGTTGGGCCCAGCATCAGCTGGAGCTGCAGCTGCGCTGAGAAGTGGTCCCTGGGCTGTGGTGGGGGGCTGTTGCAGGGACATTGGTCGTCTCAGCGGAGCAGGTGGAGTTCTCATGGCACGGCTGTAAGTGGCCATGAGTGCAGCTCTCATGCTGGAGGTGGAGGGGCAGTCGTCCTCGCTCATGGCTGTAAGGCCTGGAAGAGAGAGGAAGGGAGGCGGGGTCAGAGCGCGGCTGTGCAGGGACCCCAGGAGCCCCTCCTGCCACGGCCATGCCGGGCAGCTCTTGGCACGGCCAGGAGGGAGCAGGGGCCAAGGGGATGAGCGGGAAGGTGCTGGGCACCAATGGGCACCCTACCCATGCCATGTGTGTGTGCTCTGGCCACGGTGTGCAGGGAGCAGAGCCCTGTGCAGGCAGGGCAGGGATTGCAGCTCCCTGCCCAGGGACTGTGCTGGTCCCCGGCAGCCCCCAGGGAGGTCCCGCTGCCCTCACTCACCCTTGAGGATGGGCCACAGGTCTTGCTGCCGCTCCCTCATGTGCCAGCCGGCCACCCCTGGGAAGAGAGAGGCTGTCAGGGCCCCAGGGGCTCCGCATCGGGAGGCCCCGGG